ACCGTAGAATTGATTGTTTAACTGAAAGATTGGATGTTTGAACCGTGGCGTTGAATGTTTGGACCGAAGCATTGAATGTTTGAACCGAAGGATTGGATGTTTGAACCGAAGGATTGAATGTTTGAACCGAAGGATTGAATGTTTGGACCGAATGATTGAATGTTTGGAATTTTGGTGGGGATGGATACCCATAGTACACGGCAATATTGTTATGAGCGTTGTCACGTGACCACTTCATAGCAACGGGAGCAAAATGGGTAGCAACAAGCCAGTGTGGGACGAACGAGAACGATTGGCCACAGGCCAAACGAGCCCACAGGTCACAAATCACGAGAAACCGCCGAGAACCAAAATTCAATCAAACGTACAACGTGATGAGATATCCTTGAGTGACTCTGAGAAGTCTGACGACGCAATGAGTTATTGCGCGTCCGAAGAGGACTTGGACAGGCTGGTTGGGGGCAACGATAATGTTCAGCAGAGAAAACACCAACACCGAGTGCCACCGATAAAAACACGAATAACAGTGTCCTCCAAGAACTAGAAGCCGCCATCACAGATGATGATATTTTGGGGCCTTGGGTAAAAAGCTTTTGCAGGAAAAGCTAAAAGCCTTACTTTCGAAAGACGAAGTCCCTGCAAACTGCGCAAAAATGGAACAACAATGAAATTTTGAGCCAGCTTAATTCAACTCTCAGACCGAACGACCTACGCCTCAGCAATATCCAGAAAAGCCTACTTAAGGCCACCTCTGCCTCTACCAATGTGCGACAAAGTGCTAGCCTTAAAACTCGGAAAGGAAGATCAGAAACGAGTTATGGCCGACGGGGTTGACACGATCGGTGTACTGAGCAATGTTGTCTCTGAATTATCCGGGTTTCGGAAAGAACAAATGAAACCCGCGCTAAAGTCAGATTTTCACTCGCTATGTTCAAAAGAACTGGACGAGCCCAACAACCTGCTATTTGGCGACGATCTCGCAAAAGAAATTCGCGACGCCAAAGAGGCCACGCGAATCGGAGTGGCCATGGGCTATTCTAGATAGGACAGACAGAGGGGGGAAAGCGCCGCCACACCGACTACTATCGCCACCAATCCTATTCTAAGAAGCCTTTTTTATCGAAAGGCCACAAAAACCAAGGATTCAGGAAGAAATCGTCCAGGAATCCAAGGAAGACAGACGACTCGAAATAAGACTGACTCTAAAAGAACAGGTAAATATACTCACACCTAAGAATATAACCAAATTTACGCAATATCTGATAGAGAAATGTACATTATTCAGGGCCGGAAACCTAGCCCATTACTTAAATAGTTGGAAAGCGCTGACATCCNAGAACAAAGGCAACTTTGACAGCCACATGACATTATCACATACAGCTGTCAGTTAATTAAACTGGTGGATTAATAATGTCCAGGACTGCTACGGTCTTATAACTTTACCCGACCCAGCATATACCCTCACGACAGATGCATGCAATGAGGGTTGGGGAGCGGTTTACGGGGATAACTCTACCGGTCTTTTAATTATTTGGAACTCTTAGCAGTTTTCTTGGGAATGAAAACTTTCCTCGGTCACCTGATAGACAATAGCACGTCTGTCGCCCTGATAAATAATATGGGGACAGGTCATTCCAGAAAGCTTAACTCGCTCTGTAAATCCATGGGCGATCTCTCGAGACCTGTGGATTAGCGCCGCACACATACCAGGAAAACTTAACACGAGGGCGGATCTCGAATCGCGGGATAAACGCTCAACACACGAAATTGGAAATTGGACCGCGATACATTACAAAAGGCATTGTACGACCTAAAGGTCACGCCAAGCATTGAAATTTTTGCCTCGCGTATCAATCATCAATTTACGACATATGTGTCATATGTAAAGAGCGCGAATAAGCTATTTTTCAGTCAACTGTACATCATGGTATTGAGTTCTTAGTACATCTGTATAAACGTGACATCGGCTATAGTGCAATGAACACGGCGAGGTCAGCACTCTCTACCATAATATCTACCTCGCAACGCACGTTTGGTAATCACCCTCTAGTCATTAGGTTCATGAAGGGAGTTTACGAAATGAAACCCACATTGCCTAGATATACAGTTACTTGGGACGTAGGTACAGTCCTTACCTTTCTAGCGAATTTCACATCCAATCCTAGCCTAAAACAATTGACAATGAAATTAAATATGCTCTTGAGCCTTATCACCGGACAAAGATGTCCAACCTTGAGTAAACTGGACATGCGGTTTATGCAGCGCCAGCCAGATAAACATATATTTACAATACGTGAAACTCTAAAACGATATACTATGACAAGCCAATTACACAAAACTTTGGCACTAGCATTTTAGACTATCATTCAAGATAATCAATAATCTTTAGCAAACATATAATCGAAATAAAATGTTAATTATAAAGTGTCACGCGATCACGTTTTCGCATTCACCTTTGCATAGCATATTCAGGACGTCAAAATATCATGTGTCTCCGTAGTGACGTAGTCTGATGACGTCACATGCCCTACCCTGGCATTTTCCCACCCTGGACTCTTTCGTTCCTGACATTAGAACTGTTCCTGGATATGCTTGGCTTTAAATGATCAATAGAGCAAGCGTATGCTTCTCATGTGACTCCTTCATTCCTGACTGATGACGAGATTTAATTTTTAAATTTTTCTTCCATAGTTAAGTACAGTTCACAGTTACATGTAAGAACGCCGCTTTGCACTTAGCTGAAAACGCCCAGTCCCGCCCACCTCATTTTCAAATTTGACAAACGGACTTCGACCCGTTGGGCGTGTAGTTATGAAAATAGTGTTTAAATAAGGGTGTGAATTTGAAGATTATTATTCGGGGTTCCACAGGAACCGCGAGTTTAGGTTTCGGCCTTCTTTGTCATGGTAGTCGTATTTGGTACACAAATTGTCTCGGCCAAACTAGAATGCACTGGGTACGAATCACGTGACATTCACAACTCCCATGTGCTATCTTKACATGGTGTCGTCGAGGTGTCGTCTTTATACGAGATGGAAGACATATATTCAACTTCAAACACTCTCAAATCCACACATCATTCGCGGTATAGCCACACTAAAAGATGTCGAGCGTTTTTCGAAAGGGCATTCTGAGAGATACCGCGAATTTATCGTGAACCTTATCGTGAAATTTATCGTGAACTATCTATCAAACAAGCTACCAATCTTATCAAAAGCGAACTCTATACTAACTGATTCTACAGGCTCTGAAAATACAAAGGACTTCTCTAAGGAATGCGAACAGAATTCACTGAGGAAAAACCCACGATTGCAACTATTTTATTTAGCAGAGAGGCTAAAAGACTCTGTCTTTATAGCCT